CGTTAATTTTACACGTGTACAGGTCAGTGTGAAAACTTACTTTGCTAAATGTAAACACCGTTAATTTTACACGTTTACAGGTCAGTGTGAAAACTTACTTTGCTAAATGTAAACACCGTTAATTTTACACGTTTACAGGTCAGTGTGAAAACTTACTTTGCTAAATGTAAACATCGTTAATTTTACATGAGTATACATCAATACGAGAACTTACTTTGTAACATATCATTGTAGGCGCCATCAGATACAGAGAAAATATGTGGGGGCATTTCAGGTCTCCTCTTGCCTTTGTACATCTGGATCACCCGATTAGTGTAGATAGGAAATCGTTTGTAGGGGTTAATGGCGACACAGAACAGACCAGAGTAAGTCTGAATATACAGAAAGAGAATATCAGAAATGTCCCACTTTTATAGCCCACTTTTTTAACGTATTTATTAGAATATTTTTATAGTATTGGTGTTCATATATTCACCTAATACAATCTATTATTTTGGAATTTATGTATGTAAGTACTTAATTTATGTTTACGTAAGGGATTTTTGTACAGAGAAAGGTGGTACTTTAATACTTTTTTAGTTTGAATTATATGAGGAATGGTGAAAACACAAAATAAGACAATCTCTTACTAATAAAACTAAATCTGTAAAAAAAAATGTATTGAAATCAAATTATAACATCAGTGGAAAACATTTGTTTAATTAAAATATATAGTTATAGTTTCTATAAACGTCCAACTGAACTTATACACACTATCCTACGTATTTAATACCATGTGTTTAGCTTGTTAACTAGGTGAGGTATAGTTCGTTCATTCTTCATGTCCACTACTTCTGATATGGATTTATTGTTTACTTACACCCTTGTGAAATACTGTTAGCATGGTATGCTAGGCTTCAGATTAACTCAACACAGTTTATCTTCACAGATGATCTATATAACCGTTATTCAGTTTAACTCAACACAGTTTATCTTCACAGATGATCTATATAACCGTTATTCAGTTTAACTCAACACAGTTTATCTTCACAGATGATCTATATAACCGTTATTCAGTTTAACTCAACACAGTTTATCTTCACAAATGATCTATATAACCATTATTCAGTTTAACTCAACACAGTTTATCTTCACAAATGATCTATATAACCGTTATTTAGTTTAACTCAACACAGCTTTATTTTCAAAGATGATCACTGGATTTCATGTTTGAAGATATGACCATCTTAAAGAACAAGCTGAGACAAGTCGACAGAGGGTTTGATATTTACTTAGCGGCGTATAGTAACAATATTTAAGACTAGATCAAACGTTATAATTAATCTCGTAACATAAGCAAGTGCTCTAAAATACAACATTCTCGAGAAAGACAACGAATAACGTTTGTTTTTACAAAAGCACATTGTCCAAATACTTACGTAGATAAGGTTCATGTAGTAACGTTCTTTCAGGTTGTACAAAACGCTAGCGTCGTTCAGATAAGTTAAGTTTGACATATCCTCGGTCTTTTCGAATTTTGGGGGATTTACCTGCTGTAGCTGATCTTTTTTTATTTGTCGCTAAAAGGGAGAATGAGTTGAAGAGAATGGAAATAGGAAATGTGTTGTTGGGGAAGAAGGGGATAAAAGGAAAAAAATACCGGTGTATTAGTCAACTTATATAAAAATCTATACTTAATCGATACTTAAATATATTCATACTTACGTATGTTAACATCGTTCAAGTTAGTAAGGGAAGGCATATCTTCGCTCTTTTCAAATTTTGGAAGTTTAACTTGTTGAAGAACATCTTTCCTGAGCATTTTCTAACAGAAAATATATTCAACTTGAATTGTGAATCAGTAATAGAATCCCAGTCTAGAACATCAATAGAACAACACCTAAAAGGTTTTATTAATAAGACAATCGGTGTCGTTAACTCCAGACTGAGGTTTCATTAACAAGAAGTTAGGTGTCGTTAACTCCAGACTGAAGTTTCATTAACAAGAATTTAGGTGTCGTTAACTTCAGACTGAAGTTTCATTAACAAGAATTTAGGTGTCGTTAACTTCAGACTGAGGTTTCATTAACAAGAATTTAGGTGTCGTTAACTTCAGACTGAGGTTTCATTAACAAGAATTTAGGTGTCGTTAACTTCAGACTGAGGTTTCATTAATAAGAAGTTAGATGGCGTTAACTCCAGACTGAGGTTTCATTAATATTTTTCAGAGTACCCTGAAAGTTCATCACTGTTTTTGAAACGTTACGTGATAATGGGTAAAAACACACACGAAATATTTTCCTTATCCTTTATTTCCAAAATCCATTCTTCATAAAATTTAAGTATTCACTAGAATAACCAAATGCAACTTGTTGGGTATTTCAGTTTATAATTTATTTTATGGAATATTTTTTAAAAATAAATTAACTAATTAAAATCGTGAGAATTTTAACACACAGCTGAACCTCAGGAAGCTAACATTATAATAAAGTGGAAACAAATGGAAATACAGTAACTTACGTCTCCCCCAGGACAGTCAACGGTTACTATGTCACCCTTGGTACTTGAAATATTTCCCAGTATGAACCCATCTTTTTCATCAGGGACCCAGACCATTTTTTTGCCATCGTAAGGCTTAGTCTGATCCTTTCGCTTCTGTTCCAGAGATATGAACAGGTACTCAGCTGGATCGGGATCTTCTTGTGACATCCTGGTAGCTCAGTTACAGTGGAATTATGGAATTAGACTTGTCAAGTGTGGTGGAACAAAACAGCCCTGGAATTTTCCTGGTTAAGAAGAAAAAGATCACTAGTACAGAACAGTTCTGGAATTTCCCTGGTTAAGAAGAAAAAGAACACTAGTACATAACAGTTCGGGAATTTCCCTGGTTAAGAAGAAAAAGAACACTAGTACATAACGGTTCTGGAATTTCCCTGGTTAAGAAGAAAAAGAACACTAGTACATAACAGTTCTGGAATTTCCCTGGTTAAGAAGAAAAAGATCACTAGTACAGAACAATTCTGGAATTTCCCTGGTTAAGAAGAGAAAGAACACAAGTATAGAACAGGCCTGCAGTTTCCCTGGTTAAGAAGACTGTGTTACAATGGTCACAAATAAAACACTCAGAACTTCCATTACTCAAAACTAATTGGTTTTGTTATCATATTGTTTTCGCTCACGTACGCAATGAAATGTTTACTATAAACATCAGAAAATGATTTTTAAATTCCTACTGAATCTTTTAAATTTAAAATCTAAACTTAAATTTCGAATAATCCCCAAGTTGAAATTATATATAAATTATTCTTTAACGTTTTAAGAATGGCATAATTAATTAATGCTCACCTGGAAGGAACGTGTTTTGCATCAAACTCAATGAAATTTAACATAAAGAGATCTCAAATGAAAATGACTAAAATATAATTCAATTCTGGAAAATCTAACAACAGTATCCCTAGAGGATTCAACTAAAGTTTAAACGCCCCACAGTAGCTCACCGCTAAGTCTAAACACTTATAACGCTAAAAACCAGGTTTCGATTCCCGTGGTGGGCATATCACAGAGAGCCCATTGTGTTGCTTTGTACAAACATAAACACAAAACGCTTTTAAAGCTGGAAAAACACAAAGAAGTATTACTCTATAGGAAAAAGATTAGTGTTATAAACAGATGAAAACTAAAGTCATTGTAAGAAAACTAATTGCTTTCAAAAGTTGGATAATTCGATGACAACATCTACGGCGCTACAGCCAACAATGATATTCCAGTAGCCGCGTCCTTAAAGATCTACTACATGAAGATACAACCAGACTTGTCACAGCCTAAAAACAATAAAATAACCTTATTCACTTACGTTCGAAAGCTGTCTCCAGACATAAAGCAAGCAGCGATCCTTTTAAACCATTGCAATCAGACACCGGTCGAGGTGAATTTAGTAAAGTAACTTTAAACACAATGTGATTGGCTCTCACCTCTGTTTGGGTGGGTCTTGGAACAAAGACAACCCACACATGCTTTACAAATGTTCACTCTCTTGGTTCCATTTTTGGTGTAGAGAAGCACAAAGCATTATCTACTCATCCCTCACCACTTTCAAATGGAACAGTCCAACATCTTCCTCAAACCAATCAGAAACGTGCATCTAAAAATAAATAATCACGTGTAATCTTCTAAGCCACAACAGCTTTTCTCTAAAGTTGGATAGCTAACTACCTTTAAGAAAGAGAATTTTATGTTATAATATTTCCAATCCAATTCAACAAATCCTTTTATACAATATTAAAGGTAGAACGTTTCTTATCTGTGTTTTGTTACATAATAGCAAGTTTCCATAATCACACAAGAAACTTGAACAGCCTAATAAATCTACAGTAAGTTATTTAAGACGAATCTTATAATAAAATTCTTTTATAATCAATATCACATTATCAAAACCACATATACTTTAAACCTCCAATAACGAACATCTCTAACGCATACTATTCTCAGTGTTTTCCCTATATTATACATTCCAAGCTATTCTTATCTTGTATCTTGTACTTAAGAAAGTTAACCTGGGATATCTTTATGTACATTACTCATTCCAAGACCTTATTATCTTGTATCTTGTACAGAAGAAAGATAACCTGAGATATCTTTATGTACGTTACTCACTCCAAAATCTTATTATCCTGTGTCTTGCACAGAAGAAAGTTAACCTGTGATATCTTTATGTACGTTACTCACTCCAAAATCTTATTATCCTGTGTCTTGCACAGAAGAAAGTTAACCTGTGATATCTT